AGCTTTCTGGCGCTCTTTAGTAGAGCTATAGCTGACCACTTCTTCCGTGGCCGGTAGACCCCCATGGCGATCTTCTTGAGCATTTGCGGACCACCAATATCTTCACCATCCCGCTTCCTCTTCCTAGCAGGTCCAAGTAGCTGGTTAAGCCCCTACAAGTCCTTCCACAGAGTTGAAGCACGCAGATTCCGGCGGATAAGGCCATCCCATACATTCCCAAAGTTAGCATTATGTTGGTTTGCATATGCCCGGTTAACAGTCCGCGTACTATGGTTCCGCTACTTGGTTATAACCCGAATGTTAGCCTTAATCTCTTCGGCATCCTCGTCGTTAGCCCCGTCGTCAACCTCAAAGCACCTAACGTTAGCTGCAAACTTAGTTTTGACGATATTGACTGTCATCTGCCGCCAGTTGGCTATGTGTAGCCTAGGGATGCTGGCCCGACTACACGCCTGCTCCATGCACCGCGTGAGCCGGTTGTTAGCCCAGACCTTCCCGTCTTGCCACCACAAGTACGGAGAGATAATGGCATGCGGGGCAGACTGGCGGAAGAAGACCTGGCGGAGCGGGATGACAACCACCAAGTAGTCGAGCAAGAGGTCTCCAACGGGTGCAGGCAAGAACCGGATATTATCCTTAAACTTGCCCGTCTGCTGCTGACCTTTGTGGTATGTGGTGTGCAGCATAACTAGCCCGTGCTTGAGGTAGACGTTTCGCCGCCGCTGGGTGTTACGCCAGGTGACGGAGAACAGTTCACTCTCGCGCAGAGGCTGGCCAGAACCCATGTGGATTAAGACTAAGAGCCTTTTTAGGAACTCGTTAGCTACGGCCTTATACTGCTCAATCGCCTTCCCTCGCCAGACCTTAGCGCCATCCGCGGTGGCATCCAGGAACGAGTCCCGCAACGGCTTCGAGTCTTGGATAACGGTTAGCAAAGACCTCGCCAGCGGCTTTACTAGCTCAACGTTCTCCCGGTGCTGGCCAAAGAACCAGCCAAAGGCATCGGCGTCCAAGTTGTCCTTTAAAGCCCAAGTACGCATCCACGGGAGGTTCTGGGCCCCGAATATTAGCTCGTCGTAGAGTAGGTGCTAGGCCTGCTAGAAGTCGGAGAGTAAGAGCCGCGGCACGTGATCCATATGCAAATCAACGTCCCGGTAGGTCAGGACCTTCTCGTCCACATCCCACTGTGCTTGGTGCGGCCCAACGACCTCCTTCGAGACAGTAAACAGCAGTAAGCGCTAGCCGAGGATCTCGCCCATGGGAGTCTCGGTGTCCTGCTTTAAGAACCGCCCGCAATACTGCTCAATGCGCTCGAGTGTATCACCTAGCTCCGCCTTCTCTAGACAGGCGCTGGCGTGGAAGATGATGAGCTGCGCAACCTAGATCACACCAGACAAGCAGCTATTATAGTTGCCCGGCTCCTTCCAAGTCTTGGTGTGTGGCTTGACGCTGAGCATAGCGCAGAAGCTGAGTAGTGGGGAGTTGTACCGATTGCCTCCAAATTCGTGGCAGATCAGCGCCATTGAGAGGACGGATATAGCATCTCTCAGCGCAGGCCGGTCCTGCTCGACAGCACTTTGGAAGGCCGCTTCCCACGCCTTCTCCTGGGCATCCGTGAGCTGGATGCAGCTCTCAGGGGTCCGCTGGTCGTCGTCGGCCGTGGTGAAGTGGCTGCCGCGGTAGACGACCCGGTAGCAGAACGTCAGGAACTGCTTCTAGTAGCCGAAGTTGGTCTTGAGCGTATTAGGCTCCTTCTTAGGGTCGAAGGCGCGTATCTTCTGCCCCGGGGCAGCGCCAGTATGAAAACGGCTCAACGCTAGCTGCCGTGGCCAGGTCAGCATACAGTCTGGGCCGTCGAAGCACTAGCTATGTGCCTCTGAGAAGATTTCGTCTATGACCTCCAGCATTAAGAATAGCTCGGGCTCGCTCTCGGCATTCTTTGGCACCGCAAAAGAGGTGTGCATCTCGTCCTTCTTCAAGCCCCGCGTGTGCTCCTCGATGCCCGTCCGTCTTAGCCACGGTATTACAGCAGATCTGTGGCTATCGAAACCATGAACGATATTGGCTTCTGCTTTGGCATCTGCCTCTGCTACGGCTACATCTTCATCGACTAGCTTGAAGAAGTCTGCCTCTCCCGAATCCAAGCTCTTTGTAC